GGAGAGGTAAGAAAGATGAAGAAACAGTGAGTTTGCTCCGTGTTCCCAGTCTTTTGAAAGTGAGGAGTGATGTGTTTGCCGCTGCCGAGGCGCATTGTACGAAGGGTGAAGGTGATTTTACTGGGATTGCCTCGAAGCTTCTGAAGTGGACTGATGAACAAGCAAGCAAGGAGTTGGACACAACTGAATTGAAGACACAAGTGCTGGAGGAATGTCCGTCCGAACAAGGCGAATGCTCCTGCCGTATAGCGGACCAGGCTGGCACCAAAAGCGGCACGAGAATACATGTGAGTAAGCCAACAACAGTTGTGCAGGGAAGTGATATTTACATGCTTGCTGGAAATTACAGTTTTGAAGGTGCCTCTGATGATCAGGCAGGTGGCTGGGGACTCATGCTGGTGAAAGGGAACGTCAGTACTGTTGACAGTAAAAAAAGAATTTATTGGAGTGACACTTACGGTCTCCCGTGGAGTTATAAAGTCAAACAACACGAATCTTTGATGCGGCTGATTGGCAGCGGTGGATCGGATGTTAAGATGGAGGACGGTACGCTTGTGTTCCCGCTGGAAGGGACGAGAAAGAAGAGGAACCAGGGTGATGGCAAAGAAAAGGACGGAAAGACAACGACCGTTTCGCTAATCATACACTCGAAGGATAATAATAGTTGGAAGCTGTCGAAGGGGATGTCTGCCGATGGCTGCGGTGATCCCTCCGTCGTGAATTGGGAGAAGGACAAACTCATGATGATGACTGCGTGTGATGGTGGCCGCCGCAGGGTGTACGAGTCCGGTGACAAGGGGGATTCGTGGGCGGAGGCACTCGGGACACTCTCGCGCGTGTGGGGCAACAAAAAGGGTGAAAAGGTTGAACTCGTTGGGAGCGGGTTCACCACAGCGAAGATTGGCGATGACAGGGACGTGATGCTCATCACTCTGCCGGTGTATTCAAGTAAGGACGGCAATGGAAAGGGCGTACTCCATCTTTGGCTGACGGACAACACGCACATTGTTGATATTGGGCCGGTATCCGAGAAGGATGATGACGAAGTTACCGCCAGCTCCCTGTTGTACAAAGGTGGAGGTGGTGCTAATAAGAAGGATGAGTTGATTGCACTGTACGAGAAGGAGAGCGGTGATGAGGACGCATCACTCGGTATGGCTTCTGTGCGTCTGACTGCACAGTTGGAGAAGGTGAAGGAGGTGCTGAAGACGTGGAAGAAAGTGGACGAACGTGTCTCCCAGCTGTGTTCCACCTTACTTGCTGGGAAGGATCGTTTAAGTGAAACTGCCTGCAGCGCTGATAAGATCACGGATGGGCTGGTTGGCTTTTTGTCGGGCAACTTCTCTGAGAACACATGGAGGGACGAGTACCTCGGGGTGAACGCCACAATAAAGGGGAATGATGGGGCTGCAAAGGCTTCCGATGGTGTGAAGTTCCGGGGAGCGTGGGCGGAGTGGCCCGTTGGCAAGCAAGGGGAGAATCAGCTGTACCACTTCGCGAACTACAACTTCACCCTTGTGGCGACGGTGTCCATCGACGGTGTGCCGAAGGAGGGTTCTCCCATTCCTTTGCTTGGTGCGAAGATGAATGGCGATGAGAATCCCTTAATGCTGGGACTGTCCTACGACAAAGAAAAGAAGAAGTGGCGGTTTCTGTGCGGTGGCAAGACAACTACGGAGCACAGCAGCGATTGGGATCCGGAGACAACGAAGAAAGACCACGTGGTAATTTTGCGACGGAACGGCAGCCAGGGCTCCGCGTACGTCGATGGTCAGCGTGTGGGTGGAAATGCCCCATGTGGATTGGAAAATACAGATTCAAAAGAGATCTCGCACTTCTACATTGGAGGGGATGGAGACAAGACACGGGGACAAGAAGACGTGCCTGTGACTGTGACGAACGTCCTGCTGTACAACTGTCCGTTGAGCTCTGAAGAGATTACTGCGCTTACCCCGAATAAAGCTCCCACTCCATCTTTGGAAGAGAAGCCGTCGGATCCTTCAACCGTTTCTTCTGGTTCCGTTGTGCCTCCCACTCCTCTGGTGACCCCGAATGCTCAGCAAACCGAAACTCCGTCTACTCCTGCCGGAACACAGCTGACGGAACAGGGACAGTCGATGGGGAACAGTAAAGGTGCGGGCAGTGGCGGTGCATCCACAACAGCGGTGTCCACTGTCAGTACTCCCTCAGCAGAAGAGGAGTCCGTAGTGCAGGTGACGTCAGGAACATCTCTCGATGGAACTCAAACTGTGGATAGCGGTTCTACTGCTGATGGCGAGCCAACAATGCAGACAAGAGGAGGAACGAATGGGCAGGAGGAGGAGGTTAACACACAGGTCAGGGACGTAAATGCTGCGGCACTCAGCAGCAGTCTCGGAAATGTGTCGCAGGGGAATAACAGTGATGCCGGCACCGTGCGTGAGAGCAGACTGCTGCCATCGCTGCTTCTTCTGTTGGAACTGTGGGGGTTTGCGGCTCTGTGAGGAGTGACTGGCTGCCGTGTGAAAACAATTGCGACCTCCGCTGCCCCGACACACACACACACCTGGCAATGAATTTCTCTTCAAAAATAACTTTTATTTATTTTTCCTGCTTTATTTGCGTTTTTAAGTTGTTTTTCTTTTTTTAATCTCTCAGTCCCCCATCCCTTCTTTTTTTGCTTTTGGGGGCAATCACTATGGGCGTTTTTTCTTTTTACTCTTCCCTCTTTAATTGTTTGTTGCTGCACTCTTCCTGCGAGGGGTGCCGTGTGTTGCCGCCCAACTGCTCCACTCGCACACCACCGACACGCTCATGACGACGGCCCTGTGCGCCTCGCCTGCTGCACGCATGAGGAGGGGCCGCGACGAACGGCGCGCTGAGGGAGCCGTGACGTGTGGGCGTGCGACGAGGGCCTGTGGGGCGGAGCACACATTTCTTTCCCTCTTGTTTTGTTTTGTTTGCGGCCAGGGCGGGCAGACACCCGCAGCGCCACACACACAGCCACACCCTGCCGCCGTGTTTTTCTTTTCGTTCTGCTTTTTTTTCTGTGGATGGGTGTGTGCCGCTGCCACCGTGTGGTGATGGAGGGCGGAGAGCTGTGCCGGACGTATTGCCGACGGACCACTGTGCATCCTCACTTTCTTCTTTACTTAATGGCTGTCTGCTGCACACTGTAATGAGCGAAGTGTTTGTCCCTTTTGCTTGTTTTTTGTTGCCCATGCGGTGCCGGCCCTGCGGCTGTGCGTCCCACGGACTGCATGAAACGAGGATTGGAAGAACATGTCGGATGCCGCGTGAAATGTTGGGGATGTTGTGTGGGCTGGTGGAATAATAATGCGATCTTTTTTCTTTTTGCTTCAATTTTCTTTTTTTCTTTTTGGTGCGGGCAATATGTATATAAACACGGTTGATTTGTGCTGCTCGGCACATGAAATAAAAGGCCTGCCGCATCAATTTTCTATTAATTTTTCTTTTACTTTTGGGGGTCATTCCGGACACCCACCCATTCTTTTTTGTTTTTTCCTTTACAATGTTCACTGCCGCTGAGTGCTTACGTGTCCCGTTGAGTGTTTCTCTGCTGGCTGTGCTGCTGACATGCCTCATTTTTTTCTTTTTTCCTGCTAGAGACACTGATGTTCCGCGACGACGATTGTCTTTGTTCCCCATTGCGATGGCACGAGGGTGACTGGGCGCCGGTCTGCTGAGTGCACTCGGAGGGAGAAGATGGTGTGCGCCGTGCCTCACTGTGAGTGTGGGACGCCACCCACCACGACCTGCTGTGGGGCGTAATTCCAATCCGTCGGGGCAGAGAGAAGTGAATGACAGCGCCGTGAGCTTGTATGCGCCCCGTCCATCTCGTTGCGGCCATGGGTGTGTGCGGTGCGCATGGCTCTATCTTGCAGTGAGAAGTGGATGGCGGTGCTGCTGCATGCGTTGTGCGGCGAGCTTTTCTTTTCCATGTCTTTGCCCTTTTGTGTGTGGGAAAGTTGTGGGAAAGGATATGTGTGCGGGAGTGAGCGTGGGTGGCTGCCAGCCTCGCCCTGCGCATTGGAGAATTCCATACACGTGGCTCTGCTTGACGGCGTTTCGCGGCACCCAGGGTGTGGCGAGGAGGAGGATGGGGAAGGTCTGTTTTGGGCAGAAGGTCGATGGATGACACAGTCCCCTTCCGTGTCCTTCCCTGTGTTGTTGGCAGTACATACTGAGAGCGTAAATTTGAGCGAGTGCGGTATGAAACGTTTATTCCGCTTTGTGTGTGCTACTCAATCGTCGTCATTGCACGCTGTCGTCACGGTGCGTTGCGGTGCGGTGCTGTTAGATGAGGGAGGGGCGCGATGCCACGGCTGCTGCGCACCACGACCATTTATTGCCTCTGCACCGTCATTGTTGTTTTTCAGTTTGTGTGATTTTTTCTGCGCTCGCATAATGTTTTCTTTTGCTCCACGATGAATTTGTTGTGGGAGCTTTGGTTTTGGTGCCTGCTTCACGGCGCTTTGCCTTGTGTGTCGGTTGCGGTGCTTCCACGTGGTGCCAAGGCGTTTGATGGGGTGTTTGCCCTTCTTTTTGCGCCCTGCAGCCGACCTTGTTTGGCCATGGCGGCAGCAGTGGGGCTCTGCGACTGCGCGCTTGCCGCGCGTGTCTCATCTTTTGCCGCTGCCCCCTCGTTGTGTTGGTGGGGGAGGAGACGAGCGAATGCGTTGGTGGAGTTGCGCCCCAGTGGGAGAGGGAAGGCACCGACCGCTGCTGACGGCGACGGTCTTTGCTGCAGGCGATGTGACGGGAGGACGTCACCGGTGTCACAGTCAACCGAGATGGATGAGGGCCGCACTGCGTCTCCCACCCCTCTCATCATCCCTCCGTCCACTGCAGTCACACGCCACACGCACCTCAGAGCAGCGTCGCGACCACCATCCGGATGTCTGTGAGCCAATTGGAATGCAAAATCGATGTGGACCTTTTTCCCCGTGTTTGAGTGCTGCCGTGCTTCCTTGTGTTTCCTTTGTTTTGTATGTCGGGCGCGCATGTTGCCGCTGATTGCTGCGCAATGCCGACTCGCGTGAGCGAGAAACGATGCTTTGACTGCTGGCAACCGGCGAGCTCTCCACTCCACTTACGCACCAACAACACCAACAACACCTTTTGGACGCGCTTGATGGCCGGCGGTCGTAACGCTGCCACGTGGTCTGCCTCGGCTCTTGTGTGTCGTGCACGGCATCGGGACCGCCCCGTGATGCAGCCACTCGGTAACAGGAGCGGTGCCAGTGGTCATGTGGCTTTTTGCCGGGATTCCGCCACTCGGCACGGTGGCTGTACGGGGTTGTATGGGCGGTGGGAAGGCGATGGTGTCACTGAATTGATTGCGTCTGCGCTGCTTTGCTTCGGCGGCTGTACTATGAAGGTTATTGTGTATGACCGGATGCCTCTGCGTGCCACTGTGTTTGGTTACTGTTGTTGCTGCCTCTTATTCTTTTCTGAGCGTGCAGTTAGAGATACTTTTGCTTGGCCAGCACAACTATCGTTTCAAGGCGTTAGGGATTACTTGCAGTATTAGGTTTAGCAGTATTAGTATAACGATCTGGCGGAATCGTGTCACTGGATTCGCAATCTGTAGGAAGGGATTTTGAAAGCTGGAATTATGGTCGACAGGGCGAGTGCGACACACCACGACGGCCCTGTTGATACGTGTTTGGGTTGGTGGATGCGGTCTGCGGTGGGTGCGTGTCCGCGCAGCCGGCACCGTGTGCAGCGCAGGGCCATTGCGGCTGTGCGTGTGGCGCTGCTTATGGCGTTGGCGCTGGTTGCTGCTGCTGCGTGGATGCCCGCGGTGCATGCGGTGGTGTTGCGACTGCGGGGCGGCACGGTGGACAGAGCCATCACGGTTGGCCGCGCCGTGGATACGGTGCTGATGGACGGCGTGTACATCACGAACGGCGTGGCTGTGGTGTTCGATGTGGCGGCGATGCTTCCCGGCGCGCTGCGCATCGAACTGAGGAACTGCGTGTGCGACGGCGGCGCGCAGATCTACGTGCGGGGCTACAGCGGCGAGCCGGCGAGTGACCGGAGCCTGGAGGTGAGCGTGAGCGGACTGTCCGGCGGCTACTGCTCGCTTGTGTTTGTGCACAACCTGCCGGCACACACGAATGTGACGGTCCGTGACTCGACGATTGTGACGCCGGGACCGATGCGCTACTCCCAGCTGAGTGGGCTGACGGATGCGGTGGCGTCGCCGCTTGTGCTGCACGCGACGTCGCTGTTGCACACGCAGCTGCGTGTGAGCAACACTGTGCTGAGGTCGTTGCAGGCGGGCGGGTCGGCGGTGTACGTTGGCGGCGGTGTGGACCTGCTGTCGAGCGCGGTGGTGCTTGACGGCGTGTCGCTGGAGGCGTCGGGCGGTCCGACCGCTTCCGCGTTGCGTGTGTCGTCCTCGTCGCGTCTCAGTCTGTGGGGCCACTCGGTGTTCTCCGTGACGAACGTGTCGGTTGTGAGCAGCGGCGGCGGCCTTGTGCTTGGAGAGCGCCTCGCGGTGGTTGATTCGGTGCTGCGCTTCGTGGGTGTCGAGGGGTCTGTCGCGTCGTCGCTGGTGCGCTGCGACGGTGGAACGGTCGGTGCCGGCGGGTGGCTGGAGCTGCACGACGTGTGGGCGGTGGGCGAGGCGTCGTCTGTGGCTTCGCTGTCGGGTGTGACGCTGAGCGGCGGTGCGGTGTCGATTGCGCGCTGCGCTGCCACCGGCGCGACGCTTGTCTCCGGGCTGACGATCACGAGCGGTGCCGTGTCGGTGCAGTGCAACCGTGCCGGCGGCCGGGTGCTGCAGAGCGGCGGCGACTACCGCATGGCCGGTCTGCCCTCCGTGAGCGTGTTGCCGTGCGACGGCTGTGCGGCAGCGCTGGCGTGCTTTGATGCGCTGACGGCTTCGTTCACCGACTGCGTGTGCGGCTGCCGCGACGGCGGTGTGGGCGAGGCGTGCCTGCCGTTCGACGTGCCGCCTGCGAGGTCCGGTGGCGGTGGTGGCGGTGCGGAGGGCTGCGTGAGTGGCGTGACGCTGACGGAGTCGGTGACGGTTGGCGGCGGGCGTGCGACGGCGTGCTTCGACTCGGTGGTGTTCAGCGGGCCGATCACTGTGGCGGTGGACCTGCGCTCGATGGACGCGTTCGCCGACGCGCTGAAAGTGACGCTGCGCCACTGCGTGCTTGAGGGCGGCGCGCAGCTGCGGATTGGCGGCCTCAGCGAGAGCACGGCGCGCCTGATGCCCCACGCCCTCGTCAACATGACGAATGTGACGTCGCTGGAGGGCACGATCGTGCTGCATGGCGCGATGCCGCTGCACTCGAGTGTGCTGCTGGCGAACTCAACGCTGCGCGCGACGGTTGGCGGGTCGCAGTACGTGCCGACGACCACTGGACACGCGAGATTCCGGTACGGCCCCGCGCTTGCCCTCGACGGCGTCCGGCTTCTGTCGACGCGGTTTGTCATGACGCGGTCTACGCTGGTGTGTGGCGGGGGCTCGTGCGCTGCGATCCTCGTGGAGCGCGGCCTTGGCGCCAGCCTGTCCAGCGTCTTCTACATGGACAACTGCATTGTTGGGTCGCAGACACACGTGATGTACGCCCTTGCGTCGGACCTGCGCGTTGGCGGCGGCTCCGTGTTCTCCATACAGAACAGCTCGTGGAGTGCTCCGAGCACCGAATACGGCAAAGCCGCGTGTGTGTTCAAGGATGTTGTTGTGGCTGGCGGCAGCGTACTGCAGATTTTGTCCAGCACGTTCCGTCTTGGCTTCGCCATGCTCATGGCAACCACGCTGACTGTGACCGGCGGCAGCTGGCTGGTGCACCGCGACAACGAGTTCCGCACCGCCTACGTTGTGTACATAGTCAAGGAAAGCAGCGTTGCGTTCCGCGATCGGAGTGTGTGGTCGATACTTGACAACAGTTTTACGTACGGCTCGTACTCGTCAACCATTGTAAGTATGACAAACAGTTGGTCACCACCATCCGACACGCACCCGATCATCTACGGCGTGTGCAACGCGGCAAGGGGCTCTCCTGTGACGAATTACGGAGTCGACCTCAATATTGGAGCACCCGTGATGGTGTTGGACTGCGGCGCGTGCACCATGGACGCCGTTTGCTTCGCTGCGAGGACGAGCAGCATCAGCGGCTGTGAGTGTGTGTGTGCTGCTGGCGGCTACGGCGACACGTGTCTGCCGGCTGCGGTTCCGGACGGCCTTGGGCCGCTTCCGCCCCCCGACGCGAGGGACACGGAGGTCCGCTGCGTGCACGGTGGCAGCATCGACTCCGTTGACTATCCTGATCCCGGTGTGCGTGGTCTGTGCTTTGTCAGCGTGACCTTCACTGCCGCGATTGTGCTGGACCTGTCGTATTTTGACGCACCACAGCAGACACTCAACATCACGGTGCTGCAGTGCGTCCTCATGGGCCTGTCGATCAAGGGGAGTGGTGCGTGCGTGCACGTGAACGTGGTCTCCTCGATGCTGGATTCTGGTGAGCTGGAGTTCAGGGGTGTTTTTGGCGCGAGCTCCCAGATACTGGTGGCGGGAGGTACGATTGTGACGACGTCGAGCCACGCCATTTTATTTGTGGATTTTTACCCCGGGACAATCTCGTCACTGCTTCTAATTAAAAACACAATTGAGGGGAACTGGTACGCGGTCTATTTCTCCAGTGGCATTGTTGTTGATGGTGGCGGGATTATCGTGAAGGGAAATACGCTGAGCACAGCGGAAGACGATGAGGGTGTGGAATCATCTGTTTGCGTTACTTCTGTTGATGTGAGGAACAGCGGCTACTTTGACGTGGAGGACAACACGATGAGCTCGGCTAACGGCGTTTATCTTTTTGGTGATACCACCGTGAGGTCTGCGGGGCTGCTGCGAGTGGCGGACTGCGCCTTTGTCGGCAGGACAGAAATTTTTGATTCCGCGCTGGTGTATGTGTCTGGCTCGGTGACACTTCGGGGTGGTGCGCAGTGGCGTGTGGAGGGCAACAACGTGGGTGCAGCCTCAGTATTAACTATTCCGTATTCCTGGCAAGAAATTCAGCTGTCGGGCAGCGGCACCACCGTGGCGCTTGCGCACAACCGTCAGGTGGAAGGAAGCGCACTCTTTGCCAAGCTTTCTAAATCGAACAGGATTGTTGCTTTACCCGCGCGGTTTGTGGTGGGGTGCAACCTGCAGGGTGATGAGGAGGTGTCGGACGGCGATGTGTTTCCGGAGGAAGCGGTGGTGTTCAGGTGTGGCACATGCAACGATGACGCGGCGTGCTACATGCCCGGGACGGAGTCGGTGGACCGCGGCTCGTGCTCGTGCAGCTGCAAGGAGGGATGGCATGGCGCGTCGTGTCTTCCCCTCGAGGTGTCCGACGCGGTTGTGCCTCCCGTAGCGGAGAGAGCCGTCGACGGCGACACGAGCTGCGTGGTGAACGAGACGCTGACGAACCTCGCGCTGAAGATGTGGAAGACGCACCACTGCTACGTGGGCGTGACATTCAGCGGCAGGCGTTCTGTGCTGACGTTCTTCCTCAACAGCATGCCGCTGCATCTCCCCATCAACATCACGCTCACCGGGTGCACTTTCCGTGAGGGTGCCGCGCTGCAGTTTGTTGGGGGTGTTGGAGCTGCCGAGTCGTCCGGCGTCCTGATCCGCGTGAGCCAGACGGTGTTGCGGTCCTCCGCCGTTGCCTTTATACATGCCCTCCCGCAGCACTGCGACATCGCCATCACGGAGGTTGACGCGGTACAGTCCTCTACAGTTCAGTTTTTGGACACTGTGAACAACATGCTGAGCGTGGTGATGTTGCGGAATGTTGTTTTGAGTGCGTCAACGCTGTTGGTCAGCAACGTCAAAGCGCATGCAACGAGGTACGGTGCTTTTGGTTTGTACTCGACAGTGGCAATCAAGCTGGTGGGTGGCAGCTCGCTGTACGTGCGGTACTGCAGCTTTGAGGGATACACACACGTGTTCTATTTGCAGAGTCTCAGTGTGAGTGACCACTCCGTTTTTGCACTGCTCAGCAATACGATGTTCTCCGGGGTAAGCCTGCTGTACCAGCACCAAGGATTCAGCGTGTCGGATCAC